AACAGGATTCCGATGATACGAAGCAAAATCCATCGAAATCCTGTTTTCTGATTGGTTGCAGAGTGTAGTACGACGCAAATCGGATGCAGGGTGAATCCAGCATAATACCTTATTCCTTCTATTGTGCGCAGGGCCTAACTATAGGAATTAAAAATTGTTCTGTAGGGAATGTAGGGATTTTTTATTATTTTGATAGAGAACTAATTTTTTGTTCTCTGGCAACACTGGTTGGTGTTTCTAACCAATCTTTCAAAATGCGTCAAGTGTTCTTGATGACTGTGATGAGTCTTACATAACCTCATCATGAATTATAGGATTGAAAATAGTAAGTTATTAATATAGACAATCGTAATACAGTGATCTGTGATCGAACTGAGAGATGTTTTTCGATTATTATCCGATTATAAAATAATGCTATATGCAATCTGGCGACGATTGCTTTCTTCTAAGAATGAAATGTTTTCATTGATACATGTTCCTTTCAGAAAAATTTTACGACTTATGTGCAGCAGACTGCAAGTAGCGGCCGCAAGTTTCGAATTAATCTCTAATAACAAGAAAAATAATATTTTAAAAAGAAGAGAATTGTGTTTGTAGAATATGACATTTATGTCGCTACTGATAAATTGTATGTTTTAGATCTGATCTTTAATATGCATGTAGCCTTTGTTCAATCCTCATTTAAATTTAATATGTCACACTCCACAAAGTCACAATTAGCGCGACTTTACTCAACGAAACAACACACTAGGTCAAAGAATCATTATGACACATTAAATATCACGCCACATGCCACTCACAATGAAGTAAAATCGGCATATTACAAGCTAACTCTGCAATATCATCCCGACAAAAATAAGAGTGAATATGCCAAACGAAAGTTTCAAGATATCTCAGAGGCTTATGAAGTGCTCAGTAATCATGACCAGCGTAAAATTTATGATCGAGATACAATGGTATATCGACAACCAGTATCGACTAAGGAGCCAGTTTCCGATTACAAGCACAAAGTTTATTCAGGATCGTCAAAAATTTATAATTTTGACGCGTGGACACACGCACACTATGGAAAGCAAATGCACGCAGCACGCCTCAGGAGACAGGCATATGAGAACGCCAAAATAATGGAAGAAATGAATATTCGTTCAAGGAAAACTCCTCCATATACAGAATTTGCTGTACTTTTATTGACTCTAGCATGCTTAGTTGCTATAACTTTTCGAGAAAAATTCGATGTTCCAGCATCTCAGAGACGTAAGACAGAAAGTAAAGATAAATGAAATTAGTATGTTTATTTATTTAATTAGTGTAAATTTATTTTTATAATGAATGTACAAAGTTTATTTTTATGCCCACTTATTGTTATTAAAATAAGGATAACATTAAATAGATCATAATGAAGAATGACAAGATATTTTATATAGTCCTTTGAGAGAAGTGCTATGTACTGTGATAGAAATTGTTATTAACAGCATACAGTTAATACATTCAAATGTAAACTTCTAGATATTTCACAAATGGAACACAGACAATATTTTAGAAATATTAGCATGCTAAAATATTGTCTACCATCAATAGCTAAATAACGAAGGATTTAGATAAATGTAATAATCAGCTCTTTTACAACATGTCATCTAATATAAAAATAGTGAAAAATTAATGTGCAAAAGACACAATACGCAAAGAGCATCAGATACCTTGTGATCAAGGAAATGTAAGTGGAAAATCGTAAAAACAAATAAATACATGACATAACTTTTCACATTAATATGGTCTATAAACTGGTAATCCTGGCAATGGCATCGGCATAGCTACTGGTCCAGTTGGGTACGGTATGGAGGGTGCTAGTCCAGGGAAATTTGACGCGATTGTAGGATAACCAGGAGTGCTGTTCGAATGTCCTTTTCTTATTATCTCTCGTAGTTTATCTACCTTTACTTTACGCAAGTGCATTAATTTTCTTCGAGACAAGAACTGGTCCAGGAACTCGTCTACCTCAATATCACCGGCTAGAAATTTCTGCGCTATCCCCTATACATTAAAAGGATCAAAAGTTGGATAGTTTTATTAAACAAGCGAGTGAAAATTTTGTTTACCTCTGATTCTTCTTCAATCTCAGCGGCTGCTGCTTGCAGCAGGTCAAGTGCAGTATCAACTGTCATTGTACCAGACTTATCACC